AGGAGTAAAATCTCATTTAATTTTATGTCTTATAGGGTTTATACTAAGCACAATATTGTATAACTGTAATAATTCAACTGTAAACCAAAAAATTTACAGCCAAGTTTGAAAGAGATGCATCTTAGCTCTGGAAATTGTTATTGAATATGTCAATGCTGTTGTAATGAAATGGTTCTTCTAAGTATGTGGTTATTAAATAAATAATTTAAAAAAAAAGACAGCAACATGGGGCTGGAGAGATGACTCCATAAGAGTATATACTGCTCTAAGTTCCCAGTACCCACATCAGGTAGCCTCACCATTGCCTGTAACTCCAGCTCCAGTGGGATCTAATACAGCCTCTGTCCTCCCAGGGCACTACATTCATATGTACGCCCCCCCCCCTGTGGTTATTAAATAAATAATTTAAAAAAAAAGACAGCAACATGGGGCTGGAGAGATGACTCCATAAGAGTATATACTGCTCTAAGTTCCCAGTACCCACATCAGGTAGCCTCACCATTGCCTGTAACTCCAGCTCCAGTGGGATCTAATACAGCCTCTGTCCTCCCAGGGCACTACATTCATATGTACGCCCCCCACACACACACACTTGGCTCACTTGGCACCTAGCACTTCAAGAGAAGGAAGTTAACAATTCCAAGAATGCAAAAATGTGAAAAAGTATCACAATGTGGCACAGAAGGCTGCACCCTGCCGAAAAGCAGTTTAAATAAATGACAGGAGTCTGCACAATAACCTAGCTTCAGAGAACCTTACTGTGTGTGTAATCGCACAAGGTGAAGCCCACGTTTGGAGTTCATCCCAAAGGATCACTTAAAACTAAAATTGATGAATTGTTATAGATTTAATGTGAATGAACTTGAGTTAAAAATTCTGGTGTCCCAAGATGAAGGGGACTCACAATTTCACAATTTGGATGAGCCCAGCTACATAGCTGATGGTCTTGCACTCCTGGTTTACCTAAATCCACTTCCCAAGTGCTGAGTTTACAGGCATGCACCACTACACCCTTGTCATTTCTCTTGACTTGCAATCCTTCCTACACTGTGCATTTCTCCAGGTTTTATTTTCCCTACTCTCAATTTTCAGTGTTTGTTTATGACCACTCACTTCCACATGCAGTTACAAGCCTGTTTTGTGGTTATATCCAGTAGAGGAGTAGACTAGTCCTATGGGTCACTAATCCTCCTCGTTCAAAAGTATTTTCACTGAATTTTGAAAAATAAAAAAATTGTTATTTCCTTTTATTTTATGTGCATGAGTGTTATGTCTGCATGTGTTTAAGTGCACCCGTGCCATGCAATGCCCACAGAGGTCAGACGAGGCCATCAGATCCCCTGGAACTGGAGTTACGGATGGTTGTTAGCCATCATGTGGGTGCTGGGATTTGAGCCCAGTTCTGCAAGAACAGTCAGTGCTCTTAACAGCTGAGCCATCTCTCCAGCTCTGAATTTTGCAAAATTTATACAATGTATTTTGATCATATTTACCTGCCCTCCATATCAGCACCCTCTGTACTACCCCTCAGCTGGTTTCATTATATATTTAATTAAGGCCTATTGAGCCAAACTTGTGTCCCTATATGCCCTTTGGTGTGGGCCTATCCAGAGGAGCCTGGTTAACTTACCCAGAGTCACACCCTTACAGAAGAATGACTCTCCCCCTTCCAGCAGCTATCTGTTGCCAATGGTTTCTCAGCTAGGGTTGGGGTTTCTTATTTATTTCCCAGCTTAGAAGTGGGGAATTCGCCCAGCTTCAACTTATGTAAAACTTGTGCATTCTGGCACCATTGCCATGAATTCATTTGAATAACTTTCCAGCTGTCTGGAAAACTTTCTTGTGGTCATCCACCATCTCTGGCTCTTATAATCATTCTGCCCCTTCTTCCATAATCATCCCTGAGGTGTCCTATTCAAGGATAAGCAATCTGAAGTCTCTTATTCTATGCATGTTGGCCGGTTGTGGGTCTCTGTGTTAATCACCATCTGGGGCATGAGGAAGTTTCTCTGCTGAGAGCTGTGATCTTAGATGCATTAATCTATGGGTATAACAGTAAGTCAGTAGAAGTCAGTTGAATACTATGTTTATTTAGCAGAATAATAGTAGTAGGCTACTCCCCTATGGTCTGTGACCTGTTGGGTATGAGCTCCATCTTGTGAAGAGAACCTTGAGGGTTATGGGACCCCTGGTCAACAAATTCAAGAAAGGGAGTCCATATCTGGCATTGGGCTTTTTCTTTGCCAGCCCATGTTGTCTAGAGTAACTTCTTTTAATTTCTTTTTATATTGTATATGTATATACTTTAAGAAGCATCCATAGTGGCAGGTTTCCATATGACTTTTCGAAAGACCTTTAGTTATCCTTCCCATATTCCCCCCTCTCCCCTGACCTACCATTACCAACCCCATCTAAGCCTTCCTACTTCATTACTAAAACTATGGACCACTTAATAAATTTGCATGTCATCCTTGCGCAGGGGCTATGCTAATTTCTGTATCGTTACAGTTTTAGTGTGTGTGCTGCTGAAGCTTGCACACTAATCATCCTCTTGTCACCTTCTAAGGGATGGTCTTTGTTTTTACTGTCAACTGGACACAAACTAGTATCACCTGGGAAGAGGGAACCTCAATTGAACAATTTCCTTGATCAGATTGGCCTGTGAGCACATCTGTGAGCATTTTCTTTATTGCTAATTGAAATAGGAGGGCCCATCCCATTTTGGGCAGTGACATCCCTGGGGAGGTGGGCCTGAGCTATATAAGAAAGGTAGCTGACTGTGACCCATTGAGAGAACCAGAGAGTGGACCAGTAAGCAGACTTCTTCCATGGTTTCTGCTGTAGTTCCTGCCCCAATTTCTTCAATGATGAACTGTTACATACAATGTAAGCCAAATACACTCTGTCCTCTTCAAGTTGGTTTTGGTCATGGCACTTATCACAGCAAGAGAGATTAAACTAGAAGAGTTTTTTTTTTTTTAAGGAAAAAGAAAATTCTTATTTATTTAGTATTTTTGAAAAACACAGTTTAAAAACTAGTAAAAAGTTTGTGAAGTTTTTACCACATGAAGATGATAAAGCCAGGTGTGACAGTACACATCTTTAATCCCAGTACTCAGGAGGCAGAGGCAGGTGGAAGGATCTCTGTGAGATTGAGGCCAGCCTGGTCTACATAATGAGTTCCAGGCCAGCTGTGGCTACAGGGAGACCGTGTCTCAAAAAACAAGATAAAAATTATAAAATAACAGTATTTATCTTTAAATATACACATTGCATACATGTATCAAAATAGCATTGTCCTGTAAATATGCACACATTTTATGCATTTATATACTGTTAAAAATAAATTTAAGGTTAATAGTACATTTAATAAGAATGTATAAAATGCATAAACAAAATTTAATAGAACTGAAATGGAAAAATTCATTCACAATTATGCTTAGACATATCAATATTCTTTTCTTAGTTATCAATAGAAAAAAACAAAAACTGGTAAGAGTATAGGAAGTCTAAGAAAGAGAAAATTCTGTATTGTAATAAACCTTAACAAATTAGCAGATAGGATGCAGCTCAGATTAGAGCACATATTTAGTGTCCTCAAGGGCCCGAATTTAATCTTCAGGACCAAAAGAACATCCTTAACAAATTAAAAACAATTTTCCATAATGTATATGTCCTAGTCTGTCTCTCCGTTGTTGCGACAAAATACTCTGACCAATACCAACTTTGGGAGGAAAGGGTTTATTTATCTTACATCTCCAGGGTCACAGTTCATCAAGGAGCCCAAGGTGTGTGACTCAGGGCAGGAACCTGGGGGCAGGAGCTGGAGCACAGGCCATGGAGAAACACTGCTTACTGGATTGCTCCCCTGGCCACTTCTCAGCCTGTTTTCTTATACAACGCAGGTCCACCTCCCGGGGTTGGCACCACCCACAGTGGGCTGGGCTCTCCCACATCACTCAACAATCAAGAAGATGCCCCATGGACATGGCCACAGGCCAGTCCAAAGAAGGCAATGCCCCAATTGAGGCTCCCTCAACCCAGTTGAATCAAGTTGACACTAAAGCTATCTATCCAGCACAGTATATTTTACATTTATGGTATTAATGTAAAAATTAACATATTAATTGTTAACTTGTTCACAAATATCCCATTCTTATATGTAAAGCATTGCTTTCATCATACCATACTCACAAAACAAATAAAATGTGAAGAACTGAAAATCATCAAATAGTCATAGATGCAACAGAGAACAGACACATCATGGAAAATTGCTGCCTTCAAACTGGAGGGACAGGCACATGAATACAGATAATCACAGTGTACTATGTGGGGAACCTCACAAGGAGTTAGTCCTCATAGGAACACTTTAAACTAAAATTGGTGGGGGATGAAGAGATGGTTCAGCAGTTAAGAGCACTGATTGCTCTTGCAGAGAACCCGAGTTCAGTTCCCAGGACCCACATGGCTGCTAACAACTGTACATAACTTCAGTTCCATGGGAATTTGATGCTGTCTTCGGACCTCCATGGACATTGCATGACACAGGTGCACTTACATACATGCAGGCAATACACTCATACACATACAAAAATAAAAATAATAAATATAATATTTTAAACTAAAATTGATGAGTTTCTATAGATTCAGTGAGAATGAACTTGAGTTAAAATTTCTAGAATCCCTAGGAGATGGAAAGACCTACCATGCTCATGGATTGGTACAATCAATATTGTGAAAATGATCATCTTACCAAAAGCAATTTATAAATTCAATGCAATCCCAATCAAAATACCCATGACATTCTTCACAGAGCTTGACAGAATCATCCTAAAATTCATATGGAATCACAAAAGGCCTCAGAGAGCCAAAGCAATCTTGGGCAAAAATAACAATGCTGAAAAGATCACCATACCAGATCTCAGATTATATTACAGAGCTATAGTCATAAAAACAGCAGAATACTGGCACAAAAATATACATGTAGATCAATGGAGCACAATAGAAGATGCAAACATGAGTTCATATAATTTCATCCACCTGATATTTGACAAAGGTGCTAAGAGCAGGCAATGTGAACTGGCTCAGCAAACTTGCTTAAGTTACTCCATTTTGTTCAGAGCCATTTCAGCAGGAACTTTACCCCACACCAAAAGGAAAAGAGGGGCAATTTTGGGCCTTGGGAAATTATCCTAGCCATGAACCATGGTATGTGCTAATTCCAGATATTTAACATCTGGCTAACCAGCTTGTTTTCGCTTCTGTAACCGGCTTGCTATTTTGGGTCACCTTGACACAGAACATAAGACCACCCTTGTTATCCTGTTATTGTATGACCACCTGGAAGTTGTTTACCTTGGCTGTCTTATTTTACTTACTATGGCTAGAATATTTGGCTAATCTTAAGGTTACAAAGTTAGATGCCAAGTTATGTGATTAAATCACTTGTCTGTATAATAACTGGTTACTAATTACTAAAATTAGACTTCTGTTATGTTGTACAACCCTGATTTGTGTACGCAGATTTTGCTTATGCAATGCTTATTGTTATAGGACAGAGTTCGTAAAAAATCACCAACACCACTTTAAGGAAAGTAGCAAGGTAAATTTAATTTTCGACCGGCCAGGCTGTCTATCTCGGGAGTAGAAGCAGCCCTTATGATTGTCAGGTCAGAGTTTTTATAGGATTACAGAATTATTATTAAAACAGGACATTTGTGAACCAATCAGGTTTGTACAACATAGCAGAATTTTGACTCTATTAATCAACAACCAATCATTATACAGACAAGTGATATAGTCATATAACTTGGCAATCAACTTTGTGACCTTAAAACCAGCCAACTGTTTTAGCTATAATAAGTATAATAAGACAGTCAAGGTAAATGACTTCTAGGCGGTCATACAATAGCAAGATAATAAGGGTGATCTTATGCCCTGTGTCAAGATGACCCAAAATAGCAAGCAGGTTACAGAAGTGAAAACAAGCTGGTTAGTCAGATGTATAATGTCTGGAATTAGCACATTTCATGGTTCATGGCTAGGACAATTTTCCAAGGCCCAAGGTTGCCCCCACCTTTCCTTTTGGTGTGGAGCAAAGTTGGTGCTGAAATGGCTCTGAACAAAATGGAGTAACTTAGGGAAGTTTGCTGAGCCAGTTCACTTACTGTAATCCTATAAAAACTCTGAACAATCAATGCTCAGGGCTGCTTCTACTCCCGAGATAGACAGCCTGGCTGGTCGAAAAATAAAATTTACCTTGCTACTTTTCTGAAAGTGGTGTTGGTGACTTTTTGCAAACTCCGACCTATAACAAATGGAGGAAAGACAGCATCTTCAATAAATGGTGTTGGCAAAACCGGATTTCCGCATGCAGAAAAATGAAACTTAACCCTTATCTTTCACCCTGCACAAAAGCCGACTCCAAATGGATCAAAGACCTCAATATAAAACCTGAAACTCAGAAACTGCTAGAAGACAACATAGGCAGCACCTTCCAAGATATAGGCATAGGAAAGGACTTTGTAAATCAGACATGAGTTGCTCATGCTCAGGCACTAAGGTCAATAATGAGTAAGTGGGACCTCATTAAATTACAAAGTTTCTATACAGCAAAAGAAACAGCTAAGGAAGGGAAGAGGAGACCCACTGAGTGGGAGAAAATCTTCACCAACTACACATCTGACAGAAGGATTAATATCCAGAATATACAAAGAAATTCAAAAAAGAAGGAAATTAGAAGATAAACGACCCAATAAAAAGATGACCTATAGACTAAACAGAGTTCTCAAAGAAATAAAAATGGCTAAGAAGCACCTTAAAATTTGCCCAACATCTTTAGTAATTAGAGAAATCAAATCAAAACCACTTTGTGATTTCATCTTACCCCAGTCAGACTGGCTAAGATCAAGAGAACAAAAGACTCCAAATGCTGGAGAGGATGTGGAGAAAGAGGAACACTCATTCACTGCTGGTGGGAATGCAAACTCGTGCAATCACTATGGAAAGCAGTGTGGAGAACCCTCAAAAAAGTAAAAAGGTACCCAGCATATGATCCAATGATACCACTCCTTGGCATATACTCAAAGGACTCATCGTACTGTAGAGATGCCTGTACATCCATGTTCATTGTTGCTGCTCTCTTCACAATAGCTAAGAAATGGAAACAACCTAAATGTCCCTCAACTGATGAATGGTTAATGAAATTGTGGTACATCTGCTCAATGGAGTTCTACTCATCAGTAAGAAAAGATGCAATTATGAAATTTGCAAGTAAATGGATGGAGCTAGAGAGTGTTATACTAAGTGAAGTAACACAAAAGCAGAAAAGCAAGTGACATATGTTCTCCTTCATTTGTGGATTGTCACACCAATCCCTTACATGTGAGTATATAAATTCTGATGTAACACCAGGAGCCAGGTAAAGGGAAAGGATACATGGAGGTAAAGGACAAGAAACAACCTGAAAAGGAACAGATATTACATGAGGGAGGTGGAAAAAGTGGGAGTAATTGGCAGGGAGGAGAGGAGGGACAAAC